TTCAGTGAGCAGGTTTGAGTATCAACTGCACGTGCGGCACTCACGTGTATCATAAAACTTTATTCACAATAGAAGAATTATATACGCACACTTAATAAATTATGTTCCATGATAAAATGAATTTTAACCAAATAGCCAGTAAGCATAATTAAGGACAAACTTTGGTAAGGAAGTTTCAAGAGGCTTAAAAACTTAATTGATATTTGTACATACAATTTAACAATTAAGCAAATGCATCAATTCCTGCCCCTCAAGAGCGGGACAAGTTAACTGTTTAGGCATACCATATCTCTTGGTCAAGCGTGAATATTAGAATTTTCAGCTAGATAAAAACTCTTTTTATTCAACAAACAGATCATTTGTTCTTAAACCCTTGACATTTTGAATTCATTTCCTCTAGGTCAAGCTTATTTTAAATTAATTGTTTAAGCATCCCATATCTCTTAGTCAAGTGTGAATATTAGAGTTTTCGGCTGGATAAAACAAACAGATCATTGGTTTTTAAACCTTGACATTTTGAATTCATTTCCTATATTTCAAGCTTATTTTAAAGAAGGCAATATTGCTACTTGGACTTATTATTTAGGTCAAGTGTGAATATTAGAGCTCTCAGCTGGATAAAAACTCATTTTGTTCAACAAACAAACCATTGGTTCTTAAACCCTTGATATTTTAAACAGTATTTCCATGAGGACTTCTAAAATTTGTAAATCGGTAAATGCCATCTGGACTGTGTAAATTAGATGGCGGTGTATTTATGAGGCTATAATCGAGCATGTTTCGAGGATCCTCCTCCCTCTGGTTAGCTTGATGAGGAACTTGATGATAATTGAGAAGCATGGCGGGTTTGTGCCGAGGGCATCACACGCGGATTGGACACGCGGTGGTGCACGCAAGCTAGCAAATAAACCGTAGCAAAGAACTGCACTATGATATTCTGCCATATACATGTAGAGATATCTCACGGGGGCATCTCACACGGATCAGACACACGGTGGTGGACGCGAGCAAGCAAACCGCAGCAAAGAACTGCACTATGATATCCTACCATATACATGTAGATATATCTCACTTATGTCCAATGAATATAATAATAATTATTATATATAGAAACATCTCTACTAATTGTAGCACACTTTATCCTACTACAACTTCATTCATCAAAGGAGCAGAAATTAAAGTAAAGTCCATTAATTAAGCACCTGAAATTCCATCTGATGCGTCATGCATGACAAGGCTCTCCAACGATCATTTTTCACCAATCTTGGACAATGACCTTTTCTTTGACCTCAACTGAAAAATCAAAGGACACAGATTAGATGAAAGAATGACCAAATGGCAAATGTGCTGACAGTAATTGAAGTATGACTGCAGATATAGTATGCAGAGCAGTAAACTCATCATCAATTAAAAGTCTATTTTGTTATAGATACTATGACTGGAAAAGCAAAAAAAAAATTATGATCACTTAAAACCAAGAATATAAAAAACGAAGGGGCAAAAGTACACTTGATGACCCGTAATCCAATTATTCTGACAAGAAAATCTGAAAGAAATGACTACTCAAAGCAGCGATGCCAATGTAATGACCTTGACAATAACTCTGAAACAAAGTATTGTATAAGACGACTAAACAAACCTAGAAACATGGACAACGCATCAACATCAACTAAAACCAATGAGCATGAAAAGTGACATATATAGTCTATATACGATCTAACAAATTAAATTATTGAATGAACAAGTAAAACTGATGGTTCTCACCTCGTTGTTGTGCCCAGACTTCTTGCGGCAGCTGGTTGCCCTGTGGGGAAGCCGTGCATAGCACCTGCAGGAGAAAGACTGATTTTTTTTATACGTGGAGAGGGATCAGAGTATGCGGTTATGGCCTCTGCCGCCATGCAGGACGCGGAGGCCCTAATGGCGTACGTACCACGCAGGCGCCGCGCAGGAGGGCATCATGGAGGGCGCGTCTTCTTTCCTCGGGCCTTTGGTCTCCTGGTGGTGCGGATGCTGCTGCGGCCTCTGCTGCCGTGTAGGACGTGGGAGGCCCTGATGGCCTACAATGCAGGCGCCGCGCAGGAGGGCACCATGGAGGGCGCGTCTTCTTTCCTCGGGCCTTTGGTCTCCTGGTGTCGTGGGCCAATGCAGCCGCCATCATCGAGTCTATGCGGAAGGATTTGGAGGGGAGATGCAGATGGAGAGGGAAAGTGAAAGAGGCCGTCGGGAACGTCGTCGGCCGGGGGTCGCGAGGCCGCGGCAGCGCGCGGGGCGAGAGGAGGAGGGCGGACGCAGGCGCAGGCCGGTGGGAGATGGGGCTCGCGGCGATGGGCGCGATGCCGCGGAGGGGGAGCGCAGCGGAGTCCGGGAGCGAGATCAGAAACCGTGGTGCGGAAGGAAGCGTCGTGATTCATCGAGATGGTTACCACTGTGGGTATGCGGGCGGGTAAACAATCGCTTGGTGAAAAAAACACGAGGGAAGCGCGGCCGCAAGTGGGAAGACGTAAAATCTTACGCGTAAGATTAGTACGGTTTGATAGGTGGGCTAAGGTGGGTAGAAAATTTTTAAGGTAAAAATTAATTTCAATTCCTACGCTCCTTTATATAGTATAGATGGATATAGTTTGGTTTCGATGTAGGCTAATCGCTTGACTGTGACATGCACTTTGGGTTTGGGTACATGTCCTGACGACCTCTGCTGGCATCATGCATGGGCCACGAGGAAGCCAGGAGGAAGAACGTTGGTGGCAAAGCGCCTTTACGGAAACGAAAGTTTCTGAAATGATCATCGATCAGTGTAGTAGGATATTTACCTTATGGGAGACGCTAGCGCCTAGACGTCCGGCCCGAGGAGGCGTCCGGACGCAACTCCCACCCAGCCTATAACGTTATCTGATTCCACTCGGCAACATAAAACGATACCTGATTCCACCCGTCAATAAAAAACGATTGCTACACACCTGCTGTACATAGGGGGACCGCCCACGCCCGCGCTTGCGCCCAACTGTACGCACCGGCGGGGAATGCCTGCGCCCGTATCCTGCTGCACGCACAGGCAGGGACTAGCCGCGCCCCTGCCGCCATCCCCCTCCACTTCCCGTGCCACGCCGCGCTCCATCCCTCCGCTTCCCACGCGCATGCACGTGCGCTCCAGCAGCTGCAGCAGGTGGCTACAACAATTGGGTCACATTGCAACATGTGCAACACCCGATTTACTTTTGTAACATTCACACTTGTGTATTCATTGCAAAAATATATGCAACATTCAGATGAGACACTTGAAACATATGTTTGAAGCAACTGAAAACACTTGAAACATACGCTTACAACGTGCATTTATATACAATATTCAGACCTACTTTTGCAACATCCAGATGAAACACTTGCGACATACGTCTAAAATAAATGAAACAGTTGGAACATACACTTAAAACATATGTGTACAACCATTTTAACATGTGCAACATCCCAATCTATTTTTGCAACAACGATATAAAACACTTGCAACGTACCTCTGAAACATATAAAACACGTGAAACATACGTTTGCAACATGCGCTTTCAGTGCAATATCTCCTTGTTGCTTGGGATGGAGGGTCGTCGGCGCATGGAGTTCAATAGTGTAGAGCTTGCCGCTACTGGGAGGGAGCACGCGGTGCGGCAGCCGTGGAGAGGGAGAGGCGAAGGTAGTAGCTAATGGCGCGAGCTGCCACCGGAAACAGGTGAAACTTGGCAGGCCGCTAGGGTTGGGGTAGGCCTGGCGACGCGATGGAGCGGCCACGGTGGTCGGATGCCATGGTGCAGGCGGGCCGCGCGGTGAAGGCGGAGTGGGGAAGGTGGGTGGCACGATATGGAGCGGCCGCGGCGGCCGGTGGAGTAGGCCGCGCGGGCAGGATGCGCCTGTGGAGCGGCCGCGCGGGAAGGATGTGGCGGTGGAGCGGTCGCGTGCGCAGGATGTGGCGGTGGAGCGAACGCGTGGCTAGGATACAGTGGTGGAGCCAGCCACGATGGTCGGATGAGGAAATGGTGATTCCGTTTTTTTTTTTTTTTAGTTACGGCCGGTGGAGATGAGTGGCCGGTTGCCTGGGCTGGTCCACAGCCGAAGCAATCAAGCGTTCGGGCGGACGGAGATGAACGGACGCCATGTCCGCAGCATTATGGTTACCTTATGATGGGTCCCGTCTTTTCCCAGTTAACTGCCAGATGCAACTTGTGGGGCAGATCTTGCTTGTAGTAACTGATGCAACTTGAGGGGCAGATCTTGCTTGTAGTAGCTGTTGTTGAATCTTGCCTGATTGGTGCGCGCCCTGTTCGGAGCAGCAGATGAAATATTGGTTTCTTGTTCACATTCGTTTCTGTGGCCCTATTTATCTCACTATCTCAGCGAATTTCTAGCATTTCTCTGTAACAGCGTAAGTCTTTTATTCTGTCGCATTTGCTAAGTTTTCAGACATCACCATGTTCTCGTATGTGTGATCAAGTTGTGGAGCAAATGACTGCTGACACCAGAGATACGCATACATAACAGAGGACAGATGAGAGTATCAATGCTGCATTTGCATCAGAGTGGATTCATCAGGATTCCAGAAGTCCTGCACTGCTCATACCTTTTTTCAAGAGTTCAGCTTCGACATGCAGTTCAAACCGCTGACGGCACACAACCAAACCAACCAAAGCGTCAGTTCTTTTGTGGCCAGAATGGCGGCCACTCAGCCAGAAATTTGGTTTACTTCCAGACCTGTACCGATATCTCTCATTAGAGGGAGTATGAGCTTCCTAATGTTTCTACTATATGACTTCTCACAAATCTCCATGGAGCTCAAGACCGAGCCATGCGTTCCATACAACGGACGAATATGCCTCCTGTTCTGTTCTAACCTGAGCCATACACATACTCCCGCATATCCTATTCTGGTTTGAACTACAGCCTACAAAGACAGTACATAACATAACATGTGTCTAGCACTGTTTTTCCTCTACCATACTTTTGGACTGGTATTCTCACTCCTGCTGGTGCTGACCACCACCATTTCGGCCACTTGAACCAGCATCAGAATCCACAATCCATCTGTCAGAGCCTGGACCAATCTGCAACTTCTCCAGCTTTGTGTCAAGGTCACTCCCTCCCTCCGCCGTGTTGGTAGGTTGACCTGACGACTCTGCGCCGGTAACAGTGGCCTTAGAAGTCTCTCCTTCAAGCTCAACACCACTGCAGCAGCGATAACAAATCTTGTGAGCTTAGCAGATGAGAGCTAGGCATGCAATGGAAATGAGAAAACGGAATGGCATTCAGTGAAAGGCGATTATTTGCATGTTACAGTCTAGAGAACTTCTAAATGAATCAGTCACATTATTATGGCATAATCTGATGATGAAACAAAATCTTTGTGAACAGATGCGTGGTTAGCGTCAGGGGGTGTTTGGCTTTGAAAGACCACACTCATTCTGGTCAGCCACAAAAATACCCAGCAATGAAGGAAAACAAATATAACCATTTCTGGAAAGCTAGTAGTAACATTCAGTATTGCTTAGCAGTTGTACACAGCAAACATCTTAGCTGTTGCTATGTAATATGCCCATTTTGTACAGATAGGCAATACAGGATGCTAGCGATTTTTTTTTTTTTTTTAAAAGTAAAAACACTTTTCAAAATAGGAAACCCTATTAATGTCATGTTGTTCATTACCAGTTGGGTAATCACAATCAAGAAGATAATTTGTCGACAAAGATACAAACAAATTCCTTGAAAAAAGAAGGAACAAGATAGAAGCAGTCTGTTGAACTACAAGATGTTTGATGACACCATTAAAACTATATTACAGAAAAGACATCGAGTAAATAATTCTGTAAAGTGTATAAACCAGCCAGGAAGTAGTAAACCAGAATAAATATTACCTTTCCTTATTATTATCACTGAGCTTTGGGTCAGTCTTTTCATCTAGGTCATTCCTGCTTGCTGGGGAATCAGAACTCTCGTGTTCAACATGAACCTCACTGTAATGATAATGAAACTTGTAAGTTGAGCAGGTGAGAAACAAAATGGACATTAAGTGAGAGGTGATTCTTTGGATACCCAAAAGTCTAGATGAATTTTGAAAAGTGAAACCAGTGTCAGGATTATGGTTAATGGCTGAGTATCGTGATGACATAATAGCCTCCTTGTGTTTACTCCAATATTAGGAATAGGCACGACTGGACAAGATGCTTTATTAGACACCCCATTTCTATACTAGAAACCTATAAATAATTTCATGCTGGTAATTCCATTCGAGTGTATAATTGCAAACAGTAAGATATAAAAAATAGAGCCAGTGTGCCACAATTGATAATAACGATTCTAACATGGTTTATTACATCAAGTGTGAAGTCAGGATCAATATGACAATTTGCTGGCAAAGACACAAGTTCCTCAAAAAAAAAGATAAAAACACATTGTTGAACTGACATTTTACAATTAATCAAACTAAGATGCAGGACATCAAGTAACTAACTCAGAAAAAATGTATAAAGCAGGAAACAACAAACTAGAGTATCATTACCTTTCCAATTTTGCAGCAAGGTCAGTCTCACTTTCTACCACACTGATTGCCGGATCTGGCGATTCTGTATTCTTTCTCGGGTTCTCAGAACTCTCCCCCTTCGTCATGAACATTACTGCAACCATAATGAAACTTGTGAGCTGAGCAGGTGAGAAAAGAAAAGGACATTAAGTGGAAGTGGATTATTTGTATACAAACAAGTCTTGAGAAATTTCTAAAAAGGAAACCAGTGGCAACTCTAAAAAGGAAACCAAAGAGAAATTTCTAAAAAGAAAACCAGTGGATTATTTGGATACCCTCCTTGCATGCAGATGGTGAACTGTACTACCCGCTTGGGAAAAAAAATATGATCTAAGCACAAATATAATTGTAGAAATGTAAGTAAATATCTTGGTTTCTGTGTTTAGAAGTGTTGAAGAAACTTCTGTGTGACTGTGACACCAACAAATACTCTAATATTATGAATAGGCACAACTGGACAATATGCTTAATTGGACATTAGATGTGTTTGAAACAACCCAGTTCTATTCTAGACAACCCTAAACAATGTCATGTTGCTCATCCCATTGAATCAGTTCATCAAACTAATACACAATTGACAATATCAATCAAAGCTATGAACAGGACTGTTATATAGACATTACCTTTCTTGACGATTTCCACTGACCATTAGAGCACCCTCTGTTTGGCAAGACTGAAAGGAATTCGCTTTGTTAGTACTTGTATTTTTCCCGAATCATCGGATGAAACAATAACAATACCGAAAGAAATGCCATGTGTAGTAATTTACTTCTATCTTTTATTTGCATCAACTAATGAAACAATAAAACAACATAAGAGTGGTCCACAGATCATTAGCCCTCATATTATTATTTGGGGGAAATGTGAAAATAGCAGAAACAACCTTCATCTAGATCTTTACCTCAACAGCATTGCTGGCAGGATTAACAAGTTCTTTGGTGAATATGGCATCAATATCAGCAGCACTGATCGACTTAGAAGCGAGTTCTGGATCTTCAGTCATGCATTTCTTTAATTCTCTCTGCAAACATGGTTGCCATATACAATATGAGCAAACAACTGTATAACTTGACCTAAGCAAGAAAATTCAGAGATAACGAACCCATAGGAATGATCTTGCAAGTTCAAGAATGGCTTCTCGATAATCCAATACAGAAGATTTGAGAAACTTATGCCACCCCCTCCTGGATTTCAGGAATAGCCTTGGCGAACTGCGATGCAGAGATATAGTGAAACATTAGACTCTCACTAATATATAAAGTGCAAGTGCAAGAATTCATCTAAGGAAGAAATGCCAAATCGAAGTCATGCGGCGTCACTTAAAGTTGACGAACCTCAGTAGTAGATCTATCTGCAGGTAGAGTCTTCATTTTGTCCTTTATGCTTTCAAGCAGCATACGTCCTTTCTCACACTTCTTTTCTCGTATTTCAGGAAATGGCTTTGGCCGTACTCCACTTGAAGGTGCATAGAACAACCATTTGAATACCTCGCTGCTCTTATTGAAGCATATCACCATGTCTTGCTGTTCTGAATCTTCACAAAATGTCACCCCATCCAGAGAATCATCACTCTCCAATGCTTCATCACTCAGTTTCTGATCCAATACTGACTGAAGCCGTGGCAGGACTGCCCTTGGGTGCCTGCTGCACATGTGTGACAATAGCAAACCAGTGTCCGTAAACTTCTTGCGATCACAAAGGGGGCAAATCCAGAACCTCCAGGACTTGTGCTCCTTGACAAAGCTCCGCACATCAGACATGGTGAACGCATACGACCGATCAACCTTGAGGTACTCATCCTGCAGCACATCGAACCTGACCTGTAGGAAGCTGTTACGCTGCCACTCAGTGCTCATAGAGTCCCAGTAATCGCTGGCCAGAATCAGGATCTTGTTGATCAGCTCATGGAACTCGCAGGCCAGCGAAACCAGCCTGGTGCCACGGTTGTCCCCGCTGATTGACCCAACCGGGATGCAGTCTTGCTGCGGGTCATCGGGCTCCATCTCCAGCGCGCGGCGGCACTCCGTCTCGGCCGCGTCGTACTCACCCAGGACGAAGAGGAGCTTCGCGTGGAAGGAGGCGATGACGGCAGATTTGGGGTAGTCCCGCGCGGCGCGCTCGGTGATGACGAGGGTGCGGCGCAGGAACGGGCGCTTGTCAATGGCCGCGTCGAGGCTGCGCACGAACTCCAGGTCCATGTACGCGGCGAGGTACTGCGCGCGCCCCAGGTTGGGGAAGGTCTCGGCGACGAGCTTGGCCCGCTTGCGCCCGTCCGCCGCGCCGAGCTGCCTGCCGGCTTCGAGCACCCGGTGGATCGCGATCGGGACGAGCTCCTCGACCGTCATGCGGGCGTAGGAGGCGCGGGCCCGGTCCCTGGCCTCCTCCACCCTCTCGCTCGCGAAGTCCGGGTCGCGCTCGTGCTCGTAGCCCTCGAACATGCCGTAGGACGCGTTGTGGAGGGCCGGGTCGGAAGGCTGCGGGATGCGCCGCGCGCGGAGGTACTCGACCTCGGCCTCCTTGAACATCCGGGAGGCCGCGAAGGCGTCGCCGAGCGCGGCCGCGATGTCGACGCAGTCGGGGGCGAGGCGGCGCGCCGCGGCGAGCGCGTCGCGGGCGACGCGGAGGTGCGGCGCCGCCGCGGCCTTCCTGGCATCCGCGGTGCCGTCGCCATGGGCTGCGCGGACGGCGGCGGCGTAGTGGAGTTCGCCCAGGAGGCGGTGCGTGACCGCCAGGTCCTGGTGCGCGAGCATGAGGTCGCGGGCGCGGGCGAGCGCCTCGTGGTTGTGGCCGTCGTGGTCGAGGAGCAGCACCTCCGTGGCCGCGGCGCGGACGGCCTCCGCGTCCGCTTCGGCGGCGTCGGCCATCGCGGTCGGAAGGCGGCGAGGGGCGCGCGCGGGGTGTTCGGTTAAATGCCGCGGCGACGGCGGGGTCCGGGCGGCGGAGCGAGGGGTTTGTTTGGGTTTTGGGGAGGTGGTGCGATGGAGCCGTGGAGGCGAAGGAAAGGTGGAGGGGGTTTTATAGTGACGCCGTGGAAGAGGGTGGTGGGGCCCGGCGGGCGGTGGCCGCCGCGGTGAGGTGTGCCCGGTTTGCTGCTGCGCCGTGGCCCGTGCTGTCGCGCTCATGAGATTTTGGGGGGCAGGTCGATGGAGATGTTGACATGGGGAAGAGGGTTTTGGTTTGGTTTGATTCTATTGGGCCCACCAGTCAGTGATGTTGCTTACAAGACTAGGCAGTCCTAGGAGAAGCGTTTTTTTTTCAACTGGGAAGTGGTTTTATTATTTGTAGATGTAGATACTTGTACAACAATGGTGCATAGGAGTATTCTAGATCTGTATTAGAAGATGAGATTATATGATCAAATCCTAAAAGTTAAAAATCTATGTGGGGTCCACCTTTCAGTGTGCAGTCGTCATCTATCCCATCCTTCTATGCGCGGTTGTTACTAGACATGTCGATTGTGTCCGTTGGCCAACCAAAACAAGCGTAATCATTTTTGCTTGCCTGGATGTTCTGCATTGCATGAGCTGTACAGCATAGTTGTGGCAACAAAACTTGGTAAGGCACATGATCCTCGCGAGTGTTACCTACTTTTGCTGAACCGTTTAGCAATGAAGCAAAAATAATCGTGATCATGTTGTGGAGTGTAGGTGATGCCATTATGCAAGTGGGATTTGATCACATCTGCTGCGGTTGAATCATATTACAACGCTTAACTTTGATTTCCATATACTATAAGCGGTATAATTTGTGCTTTTATGGTAATGCTAAAGTTGTGTGGGCTACCAAAATTTGGTAGTGAATTAGATAACGAATACATCTGATGAACAACTTTTGGTAAGCCTATCTTTAACGATGAGGCAAACATAAATCACTTGTTATGGAGTGTATATGATACCTTTATGTATAACGGACCTTTCTAATATGGAGGTCGCATCATATAAATTTAGCTTGTTGGATTTCCGCACTGCCTGAGCTATATAGTTTGTGCTTTTAGTGGTTCTAAAGTTGTGTGTGCTTACCAAAATTTTGGTAGTGAAGTAAATGAGCATTGAATCTTGTATGCATTGTCAACTTCTGGTCAATCTTTTGTGAGCAATGAAGCAAACATGAATTGTTCTATTATGCTATTACTGACATGCATGTGATTGTTTACATTAGCGGGTCTGCTCACATTTCATGGGATTCATTCATGTTCATTTTGCTTGCAAGGATTTCTGCATTTCCAGCTATATGGTGTGCTTTGGTAGGTAGTGCTAAACTTGTGTGACCTACCAAAATTTGGTAGGGAAGGCACTCATGGATGCTATCAATCCTTTGATATGGCTTTGTGTGTACAATGAAACAAATATGAATTAGGGCTTGTGCACATTTGGTGAGGCTCCATCAAATTTATTTATGGGGCTTTAGGTATGTGTTGGTATAGTTGCACATTTACGATACAAAAGTTTTTAAGGAATGAAACTAGTAGAAAGAAAATATGATTTAGAGCTTCTTGGTTGTAAAAGTTTGGAATCCATATAGGGTCCATCCTCCAACATGTACTGTCTACTAGCTCATCCTCCTATGTGCATTTGTCACTTAGCTCGTCACTTGTTACCATTGGTGAGCCAAAACAAGAGCAATCGTTTTGGTTGACCAAATATTTTCATTAGTTGATTTGTATAAAAAAAATTTGGCTGCCAAAATATTATAGAGAATTAAGTGGTAGATGAATCTTGTGGTTGCTATCAAGTTTTGCTAAGCCTTTTTGTGAGAACTTGAAGCAAACATGATTGGTACTCTTGTTACTGAGTACAAGTGATGCCTATATGTTAATGGGCTTTCTCACATTCCATGAGGTTCCACCATATTCAGTTGTTCTTTTGATGTATGTGCACTGGATTTGCTCATTGCTCAAGTCAAGCACAAAGTGTGATTTTGGTAAGGCTAAAGTTGTGCAGTGCTTACCAAAACTTTTTTTCTAGTGAATTAAATGGCCAATGAATCTTGTACGTGTTGTCATCTATCCCATCCTTCTATGCGTGGTTACCTAGCCTTGTCCATTGTGTCCGTTATTAGCCCAAACAAGCGTAATCAGTTTTGCTTGCCTGGATGTTCTGCATGAGTCGTACAACATAGTTATGGTAACAAAATTTGGTAAGGCACATGATCCTCATGACCGCTACCTACTTTTGCTGAACTATTTTAGCAATGAAGCAAAAATAATCGTGATCATGTTGTGGAGTGTAGGTGATGTCATTATACAAGTGGGATTTGATCACATCTACCGAGGTGAATCATATTACAACACTTGCTTTGATTTCCATACTATAAGCGGTATAATTTGTGCTTTTATGGTAATGCTAAAGTTGTGTACGCTACCAAAATTTGGTATTGAATTAGATAAGAATACATCTCATGAACAACTTTTGATATGCCTTCCTTTAGCAATGAGGCAATCAGAGTAGCACCTTGTTTTAAGAACAAAACCAGATACACACCATATGTGAGTCCAAGAAGTCTAATCTCACATATAGCTAATCCAAAGACAATGCTCAATATATAACGTTACTTAGTATAAAGAATATAACCTTACATAGCAAACAAATGAAAAGACAACTCCGATCCTCGGGTGAAGACTCCAATTCCACAGGGACAACCGATCGTTGATCACAAACCTAATTCCTCCAAACTCTAGCAACTGGTACCCATTCGGGATTTTTATCAAAGATTTAAAAAGTAAAGCAAGCGTACGTACATGTCATACTTAACAAATATAACATGGGGTTCATGAGGCTCAAAAGGTTGACACTGGTTTAACTGCGATTAGCTTTTAATGAGTCATCTTTTAGCAATTGGGTGGCAACAAGTTTATTCATAAGCCCATATAAACACATGATCAAGTAAACATGAATAATGAATAGCATAAACAATTAACCATTAATGAGCATCTTTATCATCAGTATCATCAGTGTTCATCATCTATTCCGTAAGGGTCCAAGGCCGCTCGTGACCGTGAGCACGACTAATATACCAGTTTTACACTCTGCAGAGGTTGTACACTTTCACTGTGAGTCATGATTTACCCTTTCGCCCGAGATAGCTAATCTCTTGACCCACTTTCAAAGAAGGTCGGCAGGGTTCACTATGAAACCTTTCAAAGGTTCGTCTAACAAGTTAGGGCCATTAGATTCACTCGGCAAACAGATATAGGAACCCCCTGTCGAATGGCACAATTCCATCATGGCTATACACATAAGAGTAGATGTTGTCCTATACCCGATTCGTCAAGCCATTCTTACGCCATAAAGGTAACCTCTAACAATCTAGAAAAGGTCCTCATACTGAGCTAAAGCCAGAGCCATGTAGCCCTCACAGTTGTACTGTAAGTCCCGGATGTTCGCTTACAGATAAGTCCTTAGGGAGAGGAATCTAGAGCATCATAAAAACAGCCCAATGCTCTAGCCCCCTTGTTCCATGTTGCTAAAAAGCATCTTTTAGTGTTTATTGCATATACCATTAGTCAAGTTACAAGATCATGGTTTTTAATTGAGCACTAGCATCATACTACCCAATGCAATACCCCATAGGTGACAAGGTACGAGATAACAAAGTACTAGAAAATCCTTAGTGGTAGTCAAGGTAGACACATGCAGCATGAATTACATGATTAAAGGTATATAGGACAACAAGGATGATCCCATTCTATACTTGCCTTAAACTCAGATCCTCCTTCTAGTCCAAACCTTCAAAAAATTGCTTCTAGATTCACCACGTATAGCTCACCGACTGGACATGATCATAAAGCACCACACAAGCATCCATGCAATCATACACGAAGCAAACAATAGAACTAAATTAGAACAGTACACCAAACACCATAAATAGGAAGTAAAAAGGTTTTAACGACGTTCTACGTGTTACTACGAACACACAGACGTGAAAAACACTCTAATCGGAGCTATAACGAAAAAAATATGAATTAAACAAGATTTTCTTTAATAAAATAATAGATTAAATCTTACCTTAAATTTCAAAAGTTGAAAATATATTTAACAGTAGGATGAACATGTAGATTACTCAATTACGAATCTAACGCAACTTGAACGGATCAAATCGGAGCTAAAACGGAGATTTTATGGCCTAAAGAAAACTAGTGGCAAAACTGTAAATAAGTGGATCTTCTATTTTGAATTAAAATATATAAAAATTGGAATTTTGAATCTAGTGTGGACTGTGGGTTCGAATATGGAAAAGTGTAGGGGCTCTTTTACAAATAAACTCGGCGAAGGGGTACGGGTTAATCTCAATTGTTGGATCGAGATTGGATGGCTGAGATTAGAAGACGTGAGAGCGGAGACGTGGCCGAATCGTCAAAAGCAGGGCGAACGCCAAGGGGACGCCATTGCCGGTGGCAAACACTTCGCCGGAGATCACGAAAGCAGCCCTAGAGGCCACGGGAGAGCAAACCGGAAGCACGGGGGAAAGAGAGGGAGATGTTGAACTCGACTAGGCAGCTTACCGAGGCGTGGAGCGGATGGAGGTGACGCAATGCTCGACGGGGCAACGGCGGACGGCGGCGCTAGGGTTTGCGGCAGCGGCGCGACAGCTCTAGACGCGAGGCAGCGCGAGCTAGGGTTATGCAGGGGGGGAAACGGCGCGGTGCGGGCTCGGTATTTAAGGCAGGGGGAACGTGGGGCACACGGCACGACGCGAAGGCGAGACGGATGCAGAGTCTCCACGGCGGTAAGAGTCTGGGAAGGGGATGACTGAAGGTGGAAGACGACGTCGCGCTAACATGCGGGGCCGGCCTGGCAGCGACTGCGGGTGGGAAGGAGGCGCGGCGCGGTGACGCGGCCTACTGGGCTTCGGCCTGCTTAGCTAGGCTGCGCAAGAGAAGAAGAGGGGAAAGCGGGAGCGACTGGCTGGGCCTTCGGGAGAGGAAGAGCTGGGCCGCGCGGAAGCCAGGCCGAGCTGGTCCAGATCCAAGAGAAGGAAAGGAATAAATAAAATTCTTTTTTTCTATTTTCTTAAACACATTTTCAAATCCAATTTCAATTTAAATTCAAATTCTTTTAAAATTTGATCAAACCCAAGCATCACAAAAATAAGTATGCATCAGCATGAATGCACAACATGTAGCTAGGCCTTATATTTGATTTTAATTTTAACAAAGTTTTTATTTTTCTAAATTTGCATGCTCACAAAATGCATAATTAAATCAAATTCACCTATTTTAAAATCATGTAAATTTTAGGGTGTTATACAAACATGAATCTCTTGTTATGGAGTGTAGGAGTGTCGATGATGCCTTTATGTATAATGGACCTTGCTAATATGGAGGTTGCATCATATAAATTTATCTTGTTGGATTTCCACATTGCCTGAGCTATATAGTTTGTGCTTTTAGTGGTTCTAAAGTTGTGTGTGCTTACCAAAATTTTGGTCGTGAAGTAAATGGGCATTGAATCTTGTATGCAATGTCAACTTCTGGCAAGTCTTTTTGTGAGCAATGAAGCAAACATGAATTGTTCTCATATTAGGATATTGTTTACATTAGTAGGTTTGCTCACATTTCATGGGATTCATTCATGTTCATTTTCTTCATTTCTTGCATGGATTTCTGCACTTCCAGCTATATGGTGTTCTTTGGTAGTGCTAAGTTTGTGTGCCTACCAAAATTTGGTAGGGAAGGCACTCGTGGATGCTATCAGTCTTTTGATATGGCTTTGTGTGAACATTTAAATTTATTTAGGGGGCTTTAGTTATGCGTTGGTATAGTTGCACATTTATAGTACAAAAGGTTTTTTTAAGGAATGAAACTAGTAGAAAGAAAATATGATTTGGAGCTTCTTGATTGTAAAAGTTTGGTCTCCAAGATTGTTGATATAATTTCTGATGCAATGTTCATACCTTCCTACAACCAAATAAAAAAACAATTCAACTAGTTAGCTACAAGCAGAATCTTAAATGGACCTAATGAAGTGCCCATTAGTACTATGTTATAATAATATATTCTTCGAGGCATCTGTCTAGTGGTTTGTAGCATAAAAATGCTGGATAATACATTCTTTTATGGAGGCTCCTCTCAGGAGTAAGTCCAGTAGAAAAATATAATGTGAAAGGAAACAAACCTTCCCAAAAAAGATTATGTTATGTTCGTTCAAAATATCACTGAAAGCAGTTCCTACATCATGTGGAAAATTAGTGACTCCATATGTTATGTGGCCAGTTGGGATGGAGATGAGTGCGTGCTACAGTACCATGGAGCTACAGTGTCCGCGGGTACTGTTCACATCGGCGGACTAGGGTTGCAAGGGCGTTGGGGAGGCCGGCCAGCAGGGCTCGCCCACGGCCGGCAAGAGAGAAGGGATTTCCTTCTAATCTCTTCCTTACTTAGATTGATACATCTCCTCTCCTTGTATAGAGAGGTTTACTTGACTCCTAAGCAAGCGACTAATTAACCCTAACGGCCTAAGGCCCGATAGGCCCTTGACTCCTCTAACACTACTCCCCACCCGGACATGCAGCTCGTCCTCGAGCTGCGACCTAACAATGATGCTAATTATGGCTTCACTAGACACAAACTGAACACCTAAGAACAAGTCTTTTACATCTCGGCTTATTTCAAATAAACTCGACTCTTTATTCTTGAATCCTGAAGATGCGGCGGACACCCTCCGCATGCTGGACAGGCTCGAGTAGCCGCCTGGATCCCATGGAGACCATCGAAACGAGAGGGTTGCACGGCACGGCCGTTCGAATCAATCGCAATGAATGACCAGCGGAGACGACCTCGTGGTGGCCGATAGCGAAACGCTGGCAGCATAAGCGGGCAAGGCGCTCTCCACCGGTGACAAAGAGGAGTGCGCTTCTTCTATCATCACTCCCATAGAATCGAGGCGCCGCCGCTGGGAACAGCACCATGCTCACGCTGGAGACAAAGAACGGGTCGGCGCGTTGTTGTTGGTCGCTCGATCGCCGCCAAGGCCGCCTCATGCATCTGCCGGCGCATCTCCTGCAATGGCGCCGCTTAGGAGGCCGCGTCGCGCAGCTTCAGTAATCGCACTGCCGCAGATCGACAATCACTCTTCTGCGCTAAGCGCCACTTGCACGGTTCTTGCCGCAGCGGGCGATCTGATCGCCTTTACCGCGGCACTGTGAATGGAGGCACCGCACGCCGAGGATGAGGCTCGCCACCAGCGCGCTTCATGGATGAGGGCACCGACGCCGGCTGTGCGTCAATGTTATGGACAAGGGTCGCGAGGACGTCCATCTGGCGCTGCATGTGGTCGAAGGTCGCCATCCACTCACCGAAGACGCCTGTGGAAGGTGCAGGCTGCTGTGCAGGCAAGGGCGCCACAGTGGCTGTGGCGGTGGTGAACACGGGTGGAGCTGCGGAGGACAGGGCCAGCATAGCCCAAGGATGTGTGCCGAGCGACGTGGAGATGGGCACGGCGGCGTAGGATCCGGCCGGCGGCGCTGCGGAGAACAGGGCCGGCGCAGCCCAGGGATGTGCGCCGAGCGGTGTGGAGAAGGGCACGGCGGCGTAGGATCCGGCCGGCGGTAATGTGGGAGAACGGGCAGCGCGCAGCCTGTGGATGTGCGCGGCGCAAAGCAGTGGAGAAGGGCACAAATGGCATAGGATCCAGCCATGGTCTCTCGATACCGATGTTATGTGGCTGATTGGGATGGAGATGAGAGGGCGTGCATGATGACCGTGGAGCTACAAAGTGTCCGTGGGTACTGCTTCACTACAGCAGCGGCTAGGGGCGCAAGGGCGGGGGAGGCCGCCACGGGCTTCGCCACGGCCGGCAAGAGAGAAGGGATTTCTTTCTAATCTCTTCCTTGCTTAGATTGATACATCTCCTCTCCTTATATAGAGAGGTTTACTTGACTCCTAAGTAAGCGACCCTTATCTCTAATTAACCCTAACACTAATGGGTTATACATCCAGCCCAGCCCAATAGGCCCCCGCCATACTCTAACACAAAGAGCTGAGGGAGAGGCGGCGACGCCACAGTATTCAAGGGCGCTACAGTACCATGGGGTGCTGTTCACGCTGAGGGAGGCAGGAGGCCGCTGCCAGGCCTTGCCCACGGCCGAGCAAGAGGAAGGGATTTCCTTCTTAATTCTTGCTTGATTAGATTGATACATCACCTCTCCTTATATAGAGAGGTTTACTTGACTTATAAGCAAGCGACCCTTATCTCTAATTAACCCTAACACTAATGGGCTATACATCCAGCCCAGTGCCCAAGAGACCCCTGCCATACTCTAACACCATAGTCTTTCTCGTTGTCCCATGCTTTAAATGTTTTTCAAGAAAAGACAGATAATGCAGTGGACCTCAACAGTAAGATGAGGCAGTACAAGTGGCATATCCAGGAACCTATCATGGAACTCCCTCAAATGCCACAATGCCTGCAATAATATTATTCTTTTCAAGTGGATAAACATCTACATATTAAAATTTTGAAAGATTTAACGAAAATAATTTGTTACCCGTGAGAGTCACATTCAAAAACAGCAGACCCTCAGCAGTGATGTGAAGTACAGAACCTACACCACTGTCTATGGAAGAACTTTCAGCTTCCAAGGTAGAAAAATTCGAGCTATCTGTAAATGTTGTCAATCAGGGTAAGCAAAATAAGCAAGTCATGAATTTATGGTAAAATAACTGAATCTTAAATGACGATATATCCTATTTAGAACAGGCAAGATTAATATTTCTTTACATTCATCACATGGCTAATAAAATATTTATATAACTTTCTCTCATGGTCTCACAAGGCAAGTGATGCAAGCCCTTTTCTGTTGGGTATTTGGATCTCATAGAAACAAGATCATCAGCAATAGCTAAAAACAAATTGAGAGAGATGTTTACAGTTTACCGGATTGCGAGAGCGAGGAGTTTTCACATTCATCTGTCCTGCTGATAGTAAAACGCATGTCTGAATCAATGTCTGGAATTTTGTCTTCGAACAAAGATTCCTCATGCAGATTATCTAAACCATCTCCATTATTGACAGCATTTTTATCACCCCCATCCTGTGAGTCTTCTCCAGCAGAATTATTCAACTTATCCTGTGGAGACAACCATGAATACAAGCAACTAATATGATAAAAGACATGCAACAATTAAGTGACATAAGCACTACACTAACCCATATATAAGCCCTAATAAGAGGCAAAATGGCAGCACCGTAATCAAATGTACAAACTTCCACGAGCTTGCTTTCTTTAAATAGCCCACTTCATTATCCAGTAGCAACATCTCCAACATCTATAGAATCTGCCTGCATGTTTGACAGGAAAATCTGAACATCAACAGACAAGAATCAAGAAAAGTGAGATGCACTCTTTCTGTTTAGTAGTAATATATGTGTCGAACTTCCTTCTATTTTCCACTGCCTCAAAGATATAATTTCCTTATATCTGATTGCACTAAACCCACAGTGAGTTATAAATTGAAATATAAGTACCATTAACATGCAAAGTAAGGACCTCCATAAGGGAATAATCCCTATGATTTTTCTTCTTTGCAGCACACTTCATATCAAATTGTCTCAGCAATAAATCTGATATTCCATAAATCCTTTCCAGGACTTGTTTCCATGATGGACACACTTCTGCCTCAAGCTGGCCCATGGCATCGCAACCTCTTCCAGAAAATTTAACAGCCATCTAAACAGCGCATCCTCCTCGCAAGAACCATCCTTTGTTCTTGAAGCAACCTTCTCAGCGTCCAAAGATAATAAGGTCCCATCTTGAACCAGAAATATGATATCAGAACGACCTTCCTTGTTCTTCCCTTCATCACCCAAAATCCTCACGAATTCCCAGCCTCTGGATAAATGATTATAAAGCTGGTCCAATGGTTTATCGAGTCTCTGAATTTCCATGGAGTCCAATGAGGTGACACAGGAAGGAATGCAATATGGCAATGGTTTCTTGGACCTGCTCCTCGCAAACTTGACCTTGTCCACAAGGCCAACAGAGAGAGCCTTAAATGTATTGAGGCCAGAAAAGACATCCTTGATCCTGTCCAAGTTCTTTCTTCGCTCTACATCTTCTTCTCCCATCTCAAATGACGTCCACTTCAAGGAATACTGAAGCTCTTCGGAATCCAAGGCTGCTCTTTTCGGCATCAACGGCTGCAGTTCTTGGAGTTCATCGATGTACTCGCCCTCGACGTGTGACACGAACGAGTTTGCGTCCAAGAAAACCATGTCGCACACAGGGCACAGCCAGTACGCCCATGCCTTTGTGGCCTTGGCAAACTCCACTGCGCAGGTGAGCAGATGCACGCCGCCGCCGCCCGTTTGGTCGCAGTAGGACCTCAGGTCGTCGAGGTTCACCGTGAGAAAGCCGCGCAGGTCGTCGTCGGTCACCGCCTTCCGCGTGGTGGCGTGGCGGCAACAGCACAGTGGCTTCGTCGTCGGCGCCGCCACGCCCACGGGTGGCGCGGTGGCCTGGCGGACCCCGTGGCCTCGAGGGCCTCCGCGTCGGCGTGGACCCCGAGTAGCCGCTGCCGCGCTGCCGCGACGCGCGCATGCGGGCTCGTTGTTGCCACGAGCGCGGCGCGGCGGGAGGCGCCAGCGGCGGCGTCGGCGGCGTGCAGGGCCGGGTCGGTAGGGTCCGCCACGTCGTCGAGTGCGCGCGCACTCCGTGAGGGCCTCTCCGGGCCGGCGCGCGTAGAGGAGCGCGGAGGCGCGTGTGGCGGCGATCCTGGGGCGAGCTCGGCGGCGCGGCGGGACCGCGTCGCCCGCGCGCGCGTCGACCGAGGCGCGCGCGTGGCCGAGGATGTGGTGCGCCAGGGGCGACGCCGGGTGGCGCTCCGCGAGGCCGGCCGCCGCCGCGGCGCAGCCGTCGTCGTGGCAGTGGGACGACCGCGCGGCGCGGATCGCGGACTCGGCCTCCTTCCGGAAGGCGGCGGTGGAGTCCTCCCAGTCCGCGTTGGTCGGCGGCGGCGCCGGGCACCCCGCGGGGCGGGGCGGCTTCCTGCTCCTGCCGCCCTTCTTGCTCTTGCGGCCCATAGGAGTGTTTGGGTGTGGGGGCAAGGCAAGGGCAATGCCGGCGGCGGCGGCACAGATCACCACGCGTGACGGCGGCGAGGAGCAGCGGAGCGGAGTCACGACTCGAGGAGGGGACCACAGGTGTGGGACCCACTCGTCAGCGGTACATGACTTTTGGTCTCGATCTTGTGGAGGGAGGGAAGTAACCGTATGCTATATAACCGTATAGTATGTGTCGTCGTGATGAACACCCTTCTTTGTATTTTTTGTTGGTTTTTTTGAGCTAATAACCTAGCTTTTTCGTCTTATAATTTTTCTAAACAATCCGTGACGTGAAAGAAATGAGGTGAACAAGATGCCCCCTCCTGGGTCTCGGTTATAGGGCGTGTTTAGTTTCGAATTTTTTTTGACTTTTGGCTACTGTAGCACTTTCGTTTGTATTTGGTAAAAATTTGTTCAATTATGAATTATTTAGGCTTAAAGATTAAATCTCACGATTTCTCGCCAACTGTGTAATTAGTTTTTTTTTCGCTCACATTTAGTACTCCATGCATGTGCCGCAAGATTCGATGTGACAGTATCACAAGAAAAAAAATTGGATTTTGAGTGAAACTAAACGGGCCTTATATGGAACACGGAATAGCCATGAGGCTTCGGTTACCTGTCTCACCGCTTTGTTTGGTTGTGGCTTGTCGTAAACGATCGTAAATTTTCAGCCGGAACAGTATTTTTCTCTCACGCACAAACCAGCCAACAGTACTTCTTCGTGAACCAGCAACGAAACGAATCAGTCAACCGAACATGCTGAGAAATGGAGGATAAGATCTATCCTATACAACTCAAGTTACAAGAAAAGGAAGACAGCTAACAACCTAGACTAACCGAGTATCTATCCTGATCAACAGGCGCTAGCACTAGCACCCATCGGTATACATGTTTTCCAACACATAATGCCCGTTCTACATTCCAAATGTGCTATTCATGTATACGGATTGATAGTAGCACGTAATGAATTTAAGTATTTTAGAGTTAGAACATTGTGCACACCCACATGAATCTGGTATGGTTGTAAGTTAAATTAGGAAAGTTTCGTTTACCTTAAAAAACATATACCATGCCATACAATTGCATGCACGAGCATAACATTACATGCAACAAAAAGACATTCAAAACGCCTTAGGCTTTTGTTTATATGTTGTCAAGATTCACCTTTATCTACATGTGTTGAGGTGGATTGAGATGAAATTTAGTTAAGTTCTACTCCAATCCACCCAATACATATGGATTGATGCGAATCCGATTACATCTAAACAAGGCGGAGCAGATTCACCGGTGTGAGGGTTGCTGTTTGGTAGGGATACATATCACTATAGAAATGTTTTGGATCTATATTTCTTAAAAAAATATTTTAGATGATGAGCCAGAATCACTTTATGAGATTGTTTTACTGGTACATTCGATTCTGAACTTTAAAATATTTTTCTACAAAAAATCATATAAGTAATTAAAAAATATTCATGAAATTTAGGAATTTTTTGTGCGTGTAGAAGAACTTAAATACAACACGTTTTAGCTTATTGTACTTAGAATGATTAGCAAGAAAAAATACATAGCAGGAGCGCACATGAGCTGGCATTAAGATGACAAGAATTATGTGAAACCACCTAATTCTATTTTGGTCCTTAGCTAAGGAAATCTTAGGCCAGTCTCAATGCCAATTTCATGTCTCAGCTTTCTAACACACTAGTATTTTAGAAACAACAATGATGTAAGAGTTTATTCCCATGAACCTCTCTCTACTCCATGAAACTCTTATCATCTCTTTCTTCATTAACACAAAGTCATGTCAAGATATAGCATGTTTGGCAGGGCTTCTCCCGCTCAGTCCGGCTCCTCCAGAGGAGCCCTGCCAAACGCTTTTCTTGGAAGAGCCGTTTTCCAGTAAAAAAACAGAGGAGCCGGAGCCGTTTTGGAGAGCCATGCCAAACAGGTCCTTAATGTCCATGAAACTTTATGAAATCCGTATTGAGATTGGCTCTAGAATCGTTAATAATATTTTAGCTCCAATCGCTAAGCTATAGTGCCGTTTGAAAGCGTTAGAAAAGATATGTTTCCATCATCCAAATGGAAGCGCAGCGTGTATCAGAAGCTATCGAAATATGAGAAATTAGAATTTTGTCCCTGACTCCTTGGTGCAACCTGTAACTGGTGGTTCTTTGATATGTTCACTCATTAATCAATGTTTACCTAGATTTTTTTAGTTTGTGATCATTTTTTTTCAAATCATAGTACAGATGCATACACTTAAAAAACGTACTCACACTCATCTTATGAACACACGCGCACACATATATTCTTTTCCCTGAACACCTCTAAAAATTGAGTCAGCAAGAAGCATTCGCCTACCACTGAAATTATCGAGTTCATAAACCCGAGTCCCTCATAGACCTGCTTCCCAAAGAAAAGCTTGGCCTAGCAAACGACGCTTGAACGACGCTGCAAACTCCCCGGGCGCCCAAAATACCTAAACGACAGCCGGAAGGGTGATTCAATCTCCGATCGAAGGCTCGGCTCCGACCCGCTTCTACAACCGGAAGGCTCGCCAACGCCGCTCGACTTCGACCCGCTGCCTCCGACCGGGATGCACCAACCTCTCGCTTATAGCTCTTTCTTCGACTTGTGCGCTGAGCGATTAGCACTAACCGACCGAGGACGCCTCGCTTTGGTGAGGACCCGTGAAACAGTCGAGCAAGTAAGGCAGGGCGCCAAGTCAACCACAATATCAAGGACCGTACATTGTACACCGCAGGATAAGACCGATAGGGCATATCGGAAGGTGCCCGCAACCTTCCGTGCATGTCGAACCCAAGCAAAGTTGTGGACGCCGATGTTTGCCCCTACAAAGGTTGTGGACGCCATCAAATCCCATACCGTGTGGACACGGTAAAACCCCCACATGCCTCTCGGCATCAACAAAGTTTGTGGGCACCGTCATTTGCCATACATGGTGAATACGGTAAAACCTCCCACATGCGCCCTGCATCAATAAAGGTTGTGGGCGCCTACAATCATCTTGTACCCGACGGCGTGGGCAACAATACTTAGTAGCATACGACTTCTCTCTCTCTCTCTCTCTCTCTTTCTCTCTTGTAAGGCTGTCCCCTTCATCTATAAAAGGGGATGCACTCTCTCCAGATTCGGGAGGACTCGAACACACATCAAGCATTCAAACAACCAACGATCGACTCACTCTCTGCTAAGCTTTAGACACTCTAAAGCTACACAGAGCACCCGGCCGAATACTTAGCTCACGAGGAGCTCCCGTCACTCGCCCTTCAGATTCAGAGTCCGACCGACCTCTCTTGCACCCCATCTTTTTCCTCTCGTTTGTAACCCCACATCAAACTTCGAGCACCTGGGCTCCGGAATAAAGTCATCAACCGACTCAAACTGGACGTAGGGCACGTTGCCTGAACCAGTATAAACCCTGTGTCATTGAGTGATAGGCCACATCCGATCACAATGTACATCAAAACTATAAATATTTACATGTTGGTCACTTTCTGCACCGACAGTTGGCGCCGTTCGTGTGGAAGACGTCGTACACTCACGCTTTTGGTCATCGGATGGCCCACTTTTCTGCCATCTTCGCCATAGCGGGCTCAAGCGATACGACTCGCTTTGGCTCGCTGGAGTTTCCCGTACTCCCACCTGCTGGGATGTGGGTTCCACCCGTCCTCAAGCCATCCCAGACCTTCCTCTTCGGGAGCCTGGGCTTCGTCGCCGACCAGCTCGACGTGCTTCGCCTCCGTAAGGAGGCACTTGTTCCGGTGCCTGTCGGAGGGGCGCCCACCGTCGGCTCTGGGACTCCCGACAACTTCGACGACGAGGCGCCTGCACTTCGCTCCGAGCCTGCGCTAGGCTCAAACCCAACTATGAGTAATGTACGCTTTGTTATTTACTCGCTATTTACTATCTTCCGCCGATTCTTCGGAGGGACCCCGCTGTCCCTACCGCAACCGCCATACAACCGGTTCCCCTACGGCCTCGCGTCCCCCGTGGATGCGTACGCACAGGTGCTTCGAAGGATGCTAGCGCCGCCTCCTCTCACATCCAAATTTGTGGGGATGGCGAAGCTATGATCCCGCCTCTTTCCACGACCTCATGGATGACGATGTTGAGAGTGACGGCCCAAAGATCGGGCGATGTCGCGGCACCCAGCCACCCACTGCATTGTGAGTGCGCTATGGCGGACGCCGGACAGCCGCCGGTGGGGCGAAGTCTCTGCTGCACTCCACACCTCTCCGAACCTCATGCGGGGGCCCTCGCGTGCGCAGCAGGAGCACGGGCGAGGAACTATGACAAAGGCGGCAGAATCCAACCGCCACTCTACGCCGGTGTGCTTCATCGCAAAGACGCCGTGCCCCATGCGCAGAATCCGTGAGCGGCGCCAGGTTGCGCCGCGCCAGGTTCAGCCAAGAATATCATCATCGACGGGGAACGATCCCCACAATTCACTCGGCTAGCTGAACATCGCCACGGCCGCGATGCTTCGCGTGGCCTTCCCGAGCCGTGACGACCCCTAGGAACAAGCGATCCACCGGAACCTCCGGCATCGGTGGAAACCGCCGCCGCTCAACAGCGGAGAGCTCGCATCACGGCCTCTCTCCCCACCGGGGGAGTGGGGATGCACCGATGAATCGCCCATCTCGCTGCCGCCATACCACCAAGCGTGGCATAGGAGGCCATAGCCGCACCACGGTTCAACTCGGGCGCCCGCTTCCACATCGCCCTGCGGCATGAACGCCTCGGTCCGAACCAAGACGCCACAACGCTATCAAAGATTCAACGCCAGTGCCCGCCATGATGATGACGCCCATCGGGCAACATGGGCCCCGTTTAGACCATCGAGGGGAGCGGTGAAACGCACCCTAGGCATGGTTGCCGGCTAGACAACCAGAGTCCCAGCCCAGATGGCCCGGGACCACGGGCCTTTGGTCGACGCATCCAGAGAGCGCCGT